TTCTAGTGCCTTTTCTTCCACTGTAAAATCATTTGGTGTTTTATTTTGGATGCCTACTGGAATCATCCTGTACTTTTCTTTTTTTTTAAATATGTTTTGATATTGCCTGTTGTCTTCGGGTTATTCAGTAGTTATTTTCTTCATTTATTGATTGTAGACTTGTTTGTTTCATTCTGCTTTTTTGTTTTATTTGGTTATGTCTGAGCAGGCAGGTTGTGCATTCTTTGTTGTTTGCTCATCTGTGGACATGATATTTTTGAAATGTTAGCTATTTTTATTATTGTTTTTGTATTAAGAAAATATCAGTTTCTATTAAAATACCCTGTTTACAAGATTTTTGTGAGGATTAAATGAAACCTACTTTTGTATGTACTTGTAAACTGCCCTTTGTAAACAAATGATCTCTATTATGTACATTTTAGTTTGCTTCTCAAGCTCAGAGTATCTTAAAAGGTGTTTTTATTGTTAGTCCACAGGATGCATACCTCGAGTTACACATCTCCTAATTTATGCTTTTGCCCAAAGGGAAAAAAAATGTTCACAGTTTTACTCAAATGTACAAATTAAGTAAAGAAAAAATGAAACTCGGTTCAATAAAAGTGATCAACTCTCATCTTCCCACTCCTCCTAGAGGACACTGGAAGCGTCTGTGCTTTACTGCCTCAAATGGCTAAGTAACAGAGGCCACCCTCCATGGACAGAAGGAGACTGGCGTGTTCTGAATGCATTGTCCGACTTTTTTGAGTGCCTCAGTGGTCTCATGGAGAAAACACAGCTGTCTCGCACACCAGCCTGTGGCCTCTACAAATTAGTTTCAATATAAACATTCTTTCACTGAAGTAGGAAATGGAGAACTCTTTTACATATCAAATTCAAGAGCTTCCACTTTAGAAACCAAAAACCAAACCTGTTGCTGTTGAGTCGATTCCAACTTATGGTGACCATATAGGACAAAGTAGAACTATCCCATAGTGTTTCCAAGGAGTGGCTGGTGGATTCAAACTGCCAACCTTTTGGTTAGCAGCCATAGCTCTTAACCACTGCACCACCAGGGCTCCCCAGAAGAGTGAAAATCATGTTGTAAAATGACCTGGATGCTACATAGCCAAACTAAGCCCTGAACAAACTCCAAATGATTTCAGAGAAATTTGAGGCACCAGAGTGAGTCTCATCAGTCAATGGGAATGACTTCACAGTTGCTTTCTATTCTAAAATTGTTCTAAAGTGGGGTATTTTGGCAGAGAAGTCAAATATTTAGCATATGTTGCCACGCCCCCTTCAATTGCTTGAGTGTAGGTATTGCTTATTGTTCTAGACACATACTCTTTCCTACTGATCTTGATCATGGCCCTAGACTCTTTCTCAACACTGCCCTCCAAGCATTCATTACTAATCGGTCGATGAACCTATTTGTCATTCCTGATCTAGGCTATTCCAAGTTGAAATATATGTATGTATATTTTGACTCATCTATGTATAACAAACTTTGAAGTATATTTATCCTCACATATGGCTTGCCTTATATAAAAGAATATAGAAATTACACGTAGAAACAGCCCAAAGGTCACTCAATAGGGGAAAATTCCTCATCTAATCTGTTTTGACTGCCTGAAGTGGTTTCTATTAACTCTTTTGGGTTTACAAATATAGATACAGAGATTTCACCATTATAAGCCATTTCTTGGAAATGAATTTGGTATTTACTATTATCAGCCTGGAGCCCTGATGGCACAGTGGTTAAGAGCATGGCTGTTAACCAAAAGGTTGGCAGTTCGAATCCACCAGCCACACCTTGGAAACCCTATGGGACAATTCTACTCCATCCTATAGGGTTGCTATGAGTCAGAATTGACTCAATGGCAATGAGTTTTATGGGTATTATCAGCATAATTAATAATATACTTTACATATGTCAACCTGTTTAGTGCTCCCCCAAACCTATGCAGAAGGTACTATCAAAAGCTCCAGGTTATAGCTAAGGGAACTGAGATACAGAAACATTAAGTAACTTTAATACCGCAGCTGGAAAAGACTTCATCTTGGTTGAAATCTGTTACCCCTGGTGGTCTTTCTGTATGTCCCCACTTTCCTTTCCCCTTGATAAAGTTTGGCCTAAGTTAAGAAGCTAGTGTTAAAAAGAAAAAAACAAAACAAAACAAAAAAAACTCCTCATCAGATTCTTTCTTTTGACACTATGAACAAAACTTTTTTCTAAACAAAAAATAGCTAAGGACAAAACCTGACAGTTCTTTTGTCTCAACTCTTCTGGCTAAGAATCCTTTAAAAGTGCTAACCCTATTCTCTTTGTCTCAAAGCATTTTAGTGCAATTAATAACTTAGAACAACTATACAAGTCCTAGAATTCCAATGCTGACTGTGTTATGCACATAAATCTTCAAATTAGCCAAGCTTTGTTTTATCAATTGGTAGGATTGCAAATGCAAAATAATACTGCCAGACACTGGTTTCAAACCGTAGCATAAACCTGAAAACTTCTTTGCCCAAATAGATAATTATTTGTATATAGCCAAAGATGGAACCTAACAAGTAAATAGAGTTGTGAAAATGGCTAAAGCTGAAACAGTGTTCGTTCACATCTCTTTTCAGCAGAGCAGAATAGAATAATTTATCAGAATGAAATTGTCAATTTTCTCCAACAAGTAAAATCTAAATATACTTTTCTGGCTATTTATCCAATGCTTTCTCAATTAGAGAATGGATCAGTATCTGATGAAACATGGAAAATAAACAGAATCATACCCCCAAACTCCATGTCTGTATAAGCATAAGGGAGCTAAGAGGTTTGTATAGGTATTCCAATATTTTAATGATAAGTTTCATTAGTGTTTCTTAGAGAAAAAAATATATTCTGACTGTAACATCTTCAACCATAACAGTTCTCAAATATTGAGTAACCATCAATAACCACATAAAATTACATCATTAGTCTTGTGTTCTTCGCATGGTATCAGTAATGAAACAGAAAAATTTTCATCTGGTATTTCTCATCCTTCAGAGGGTTCTAAACAGTAGATTTGAAAAAAAGCTCACAAGTTATACAACAGGTTTCTAAACAGGTTTAAACTCCATGTTGTTGTTGGAGTTGGCATTAAAAAAAAAAAGAAAGCTTTATTGAAGTATAATTGACATACAATAAATTGCACATATTTACAGTGAACAATTTGATAAGTTTTGTCATATGTATACATTTGTGAAACCATCACTATTATGAAGGTAACAAACATATCCATTATGGGAGATAATTTCCAAAGATATCAATAATGTGAACTTTTGGTGAGCGTCATATTCCCAGGGCATCTGGCACATAGCAAGCCATATCTGTTGTCTATTGAGTGAACACATTTTCTCTAATTTATTGTTACTGAACATCTTTTGAACGTTAGTGTACTAGCAGGACGAAGGAATGGGCAGAATTGAGGCTTTTTGGTTTCAGCATTTTTGAAGAGCATCTGAATGGTGCTGAAGCTGGCCTTTGAATATACACATTGATAAGTATGAAACCCTCAATGAGCATACAATGGTTTAGAGTCCCATAAAGTCTCACAGTGCCCCATGCTCCATCTTTTCTAGAGAAGGAGCAGTTAAACTTATTCCTCTACCCTGTGGGTTGGACTGAACCTTATTTTTTCAAACCACATCATTTTATAGACATTTCAGGAACCCGGAAAACACAAGGGTTGTTTGAAACACCAGTTGCCATCCAGTCGATTTTGACTCATGGCAAACCCACCTGTGTCAGAGTAGAACTGTCCTCCAAAGGATTTTCAATGAATGACTTTTCAGAAGTAGATTGCCAGGCCTTTCTTCACAAGGCGCCTCTGGGTGGACTCCAATCTCCACCCTTTCTTTTAGCAGAGGAAAGCGCATTGCATAACCGTTTGTACCACACAGGGACTCCCTTGTTTGAAAAGACAGGTCTAAATATGAGAATAATACGTTATAAGGAAAGTCACTTCTGTCCTGAGCTTCGATTTATCTGTCGAGTATCTTCCGTTTTATCAGACAGCTGTATACAAAAAAAGAAAAACAAATAAAACAAAACAAAAAAGAAGCTTCTTGTAATGTCCAACTGCTCAAACAAAATAGACTCTGCAAAGACAGTTTATACTTTGCAATACCTTGGCTCAGTATTTCTGAAAGAAACCATAGCTCTGCTTTTTGTCCTGCCTATTTACATCCTGTTAAGCGCTTGACAACTAACCAAAAGGTTGGCGGTTGGAACCCACCCAGAAGCACGTAGAAGAAACGCCAGGTGATATCCCCAAAGGTGATAGCCTTGAAAACCCTTTGGAATATAGCTCTACTTTACACACATGGGGTCGCCATGAGTCGGAATCGACTCCGTAGCAACTGGTTTGTTTTTTGGGGCAAGGGGTTTATTTATATTCTATTTGCCCCCAGGGCTACTAGGGATACGGTCTTTTTTTTTTGTTTGAGGCGCTCAGATAGCTCTTTCCGGTACTTCACTATTTTCTGCCTGGTTCTGCAAACAACAGTTCAAGGACTCAGGGTTTAACCTAGGGGTTGCAGGTTCCCTTGTCTCTCTCTGCGACCAACAGCCATCTCCCCCCCTCCCCCCCGCAGACTTATATCCCCCCCACAGTTGACACTGGTCACCCTCAGAACCGTGACCCTGAGGTCTCCAGCTTCCCTTCTTTGCCTCTGGTCCCAGGACACCAGTCATGATTTAACTTTGTTAGTTGGGAGGGCGGCTTTGCGCCTTTGCCTGGGGGCGGCCTCTGCCTGCTGGTCCTCTCCTTTTACCCCTCCCCAAATGACAGGAAGATTCAAGCGGACCTGGCACATCCCCCAATACGGACCTGCCACTAGCAGGCTGGGGGCTGACGTGTGCAGAGGAAGACCCGGACGAAGCAGGCCATTTTCACCTGCGTAATCACAGGCTTGGGAGTAGCGAGACAGCAGCAAGCAGCAACAGCGCCGGGAGTAGGAGGAGGAGCGCAGGCAACGGCCGCGGCTGCGGGAGGAGGAGGAGCTGAAGCGGGAAGAGCGGCAGGCAGCGGCGCGGCCGGAGTTGCAGCAGCGGCGGCGGCGCTAAGACACCGCAGCCTCCCCAAGTCCCGAGTCCCGGCGGGGGCAGCAGCAGGGAGCGCCGGGCCGCCCAGCTACCGCACCTCGGCCCAGCGAAGCCGCCGTCGCCGCGCCCCGGGGACCGTCAACCATGGCTGCGCCGCCGGATCCGCAAGACGAGCTGCTGCGGCTGGCCGGCCCCGGGTCCCAGTGGCTCGGGGACCGGGGGGAGGGGGAGGACGAGGCGGTGACGCTGAAAGGGGGCAAGCCGACGCCGCCGGCGGGGGAGCCGGGCCGGGGCTTGGGCGCCGAGGCCGAGGAAGCGGCACCGCGGGAACCTGGCTCGGGCTCCGCCCGGCCGCCGCCCGTTGCCATGGAAACTGCATCCACAGGTACGGCGGGAGGGCGCCGCTGCTCGGCAAATGGCGTCGGGGTCCCGGGTCCCCAGCCAGTCCCCTTCTCTGCAGCTCTCCGCACCCTCATCTCGCTCTCTACCTTAAGCACCAGCCCCACCCCCCACTCCCGCTTCGCCATGGGCGGACTGGTAGAAAACAGCAATTTTATTTTTCCAAAGATTCGGAAGAAGACAAAATACTCTTGATCGTGTTATCTTATTATTATTTAGGCTTTTAAAACTGTCCTCATAAACACTCGAAACATCTTGGTAGCTGGCGCCTGGGCACAAGTTTCTTTCCCCCGTCAGAGGGTTGGGGGCTGTATGGCCCGCTTGGCCGGTTTTGATGATTTTTTGGGGCGTGTTCGCGCGCAGCGTGCGCACCAGCGACTGGGGACGCTGACAACAAAGCCGCGGGCAGGCCCGCCGGCTCTAGACTCGGCTTGGTCCAGGGCGGAAATGTGGCTTTAACTCCCCCTTATCCGTTCCCTCTACGAATCGCCGCTCCCTTCTCGCTCCCAGTTCGCACTCCCACTGTCCACCTTTCTCCCACCCACCCACCCACGGAAAACAGAAATCCGAAGGGGTGTGTGTGTGTGTAATTCAGGAGGGGCAACGTTGCAAGCAGGTTGGGAGTTGTGGTGGCCCCTACTTAGAACCTATTTTCTTTCCAGCTGCCCGGATGCCCCTATTCTGCAGGGAGCGTTGAAACTTGGCACCCCTAAGCGTGGCGGGTCTGCTGCGGTGTTGGAGGGCTTGGGTGGTGGTGAGCGGGAGACACAGTTTATGAGCAGCCTGGACCCACCCTGGCATTTGCAAGTTGCTCTGGGCTCAGCCTCCTTTAGCTAGAGTAGACTCCCCTTTAGGAGCCAGAGCGTGCAGGTACCAGGTGTGAGTCCGGGGCCCAGGTGCATCTCCCACACCCCACTCCCTGAGGCTTGGGAGAGGCGAGCTTTGGGGGAGCGGCTGTTGGCCTGGTTAGCGCTGTGTTTCCGGGGAGTAGGGTAAAGGGTGCTGTGTTGTGTTGTTGTTCTCAAAGCTTTGCTGGGATGAGATGGGAGTGGTGTAGTTTTGGAAACATAGCTCGGAGATCTGGGGTGGTGGGTGCGCCCTGAGGAGAAACGGAAGGGGAACGAGACTGGCGTGCGTGCCTTGGCCACTGCCTTAGAGGAACACCTTTCTGTAGACAACGCCTCTATTGAAGGGTCATATGGAGTGCCTTAGGCAGTCTTAACTCTGCCCTGGTACAAAAGATCTGAGGTCTGGAAAGGAGATTTGGGGAATGAGTTGAGTGAAAGATGGCAACATTTATTTTGAAATGGAGAAGAAAAGTGGGGGACCATATACGAAAAAAAAAAGGAAGGAAAAGAAAAGATTCAAAAGCAGGAAAACCCCTTTGTCATATATTAATTATATCTCAGAGGAGGAAAGGATATAGATCCAAGGATTGCTGCCCAGCCTCTCTTTCAATTTCTGGATCTGAATAAACAGAAAAACTCTCTATAACTGTAAAAGAAGATAGATTTAATGAAAAGGAAGGTAGTTTTTGTCATTACTACTCTTTGTTGAGGATAGCTCAAAGTTCAAAACCTTTACCCACTCTAAATTCTCTCTTTCTAAATGTTATCCACCTGCCATTAGTGTCACCAAGGTTTGGTGCACTAGGTAAAGGAACTACATGCCTTGTGTTCAGTAACGTACTATCCACTGTATGACTTACTATATGTAAGATACTTGGACCAATTCCTGTCACGTATTAGGCATTTGCCATTTTAAACATTATTATTAGTATAAAAATTATTTTACTTTGTTAAACTGTTAGGTGATTGGTATCCTAGGCTACAAATACACTAGAAATATCAAGCATGATGCCTAGTTTGGGTGGGAGGAGAATAAGGGAGAATGGAGCACACATTTTGCATACTAATATAGGTATTTTTTAGTTTATCATTGCTAGTTGAAGGAATTTCTCACATAGTTGAATTGTTTAATGTTTTAAATCTAAATGCTTAATAAGAAGAGGGCTGCTATAAGAGACTGAGATGCCAGAAGTGATATCTAAATAAATAACTAGATCTTGATAAATCAGAATTAAATCTGGGCCAGCTTCCTCATCTCTTATTTCAGCAGTTTTATTGCTGTATGAAAAGTCAGCAGGTGAATCCTTAAGTTTATCACAAACAAAACTCAGAGGAAGCCTATTAAGCACACTGCTTTACTTTTTAAAAAAGAATGATGCTCTTTGGGACTCAAGAAAAATTAAGAAATAACAGACTTTGAGGGTGATGAACTGTAAGCAGGTTTTGTTTCTTTTTCAGATGGAATATTAAAATGTAAGACAGATATGATGTTTTAAAGTCTGTTTTTCTGAAAAACACCACCAACCATGCCATCTGGACACAAATTCTGTTATTTATATTGTATACATTGATGGTAATTAAAGTTCCCAAAGCAACATTTCCAAAAATATTTCTCATTAATATCCTGGAATGAATATATGTTTAAACATCATTAAAGCAGCACTATGAAACGCCATCAGCACTGTAATTTCAGGTATTTTCCTTCTGTCTTTTTTGTGGAATGGAAATGTTCTCCCAAAAAGTAGTATGTTCTTCTAAAGCCACAATATTTCATGTCTAAAATTTATAATGGCCAGGTGAAATGATGTCCTTTGCCAAAGGAATGTTTAATACACCATATATAGAGTACAACATATTGGAGTTGTTAATCAGGAATCAGTGCCATCATCTAATAATTTTATACAAATGATGTTATGAACAATTGTTCTTTTTTTTATAATCAGTTATTTCATTTCTGGAAACTATTCAAAAGGAGAATACAATAACCAAAGGATAGAAGAATGACCCTTTGTTTATAAAAAGAACTTAAAATAGAAGGTTTGAACAAAATGAAATGGGAAGAAATTAACTCATTGGCTGCTTTGGAAATTAACTCATTGACTGTTTTGTGCATGGGAGGCAAAACAGAGTACAGAATGGAGAATGATATGGAGAAATAGGTCCAATACAATATGCTTCAGTAATCTTGACTTACAGATAATTCTTCTTAAATTCCTAGATAATTGCAAGAAAAATATTTTCCCAATTTATTTTACTTTGACCACAGGGCTCACAAATTTGTATAATATCTATATGTGTATATCTATATTATGGTGCTCTGGTGGTGCAGTAGTTAAGCATTTGGCGGCTCAGCAAAAGGCTGGCAGTTCAAATCCACCAGCTGCTCCTTGGAAACCCTATGGGGCAGTTCTACTCTGTCCTATAGGGTCGCTATGAATTGACTCGATGGCAACAGGTATATAGATATATATTACATATATTATCTTGTTTTATATATATATATATATATAGTAAAAGGCTAATGCTCTTATTGGAAAAGCTGTTCTTAGTCTATCACAGTTTCAGTAACTTTCAGAATGATTTACATATCCTGTATTTATTATGTTTAATAAAAATCTAGAGAGCGATACCATCACCAATCATCCTCTAAAGTCCATTTGAAGACTAGATTGACTATCTTCACTTGTGGGTGAGTTTGATAGATGTGTGTTGTTGTTGTTGTTGTTAGTTGCTGTCGAGTGGGCTCCCACTCATAGCAACGTTGTGTATAACTGAACTAAACGTTGTCCAGTCTTGCACATCCTCACCATCGTTGGTATGTTTGAGCCCATTGTTGCAGCTACTGTGTCAATCCATTTGGTGGAGGGTTTTCCTCTTTTTTCACTGATTCTCTGCTTTACCAAGCATGATGTACTCCAGTGATTGGTCCAACCTGATGATGTGTCCAAAGTAAGCAAGATGAAGTCTTGCCATCCACTCTTCTAAGGAATATTCTGGCTGTGCTCCTCCAAGACTTATTTGTCTATCTTGGCAGTCAACGGTACATTCGCTATTCTTTGCCAACACCATAATTTGAATGTGCCAACTCTTCTTCAGTTTTCCTTTTTCATTGTCCACCTTCACAGGCATATGAGGAGATTGAAAAGACCAGGGATTGGGTCGGGAGCACCTTAGTCATTAAAGTGCCATCTTTGCTTTCCAAACTTTAAAGAGATCTTTTGCAGCAGATTTGCCCAATGCAATATGTTGTTTGGTTTCTTTTTCTTTTTCTTTTTTAATGTTTTTTCTCTTTTTTAAAATTTTTCCCCACACAAAAATTTATACATACATTGTTATGTGACTCTAATTGCTCTCCCCATACTGTGACAGCACACTCCTCCTTTCCACCCCTGATTCCCCATGTCCATTCAACCAGCTCTTAACCCTCTCTGCCTTCTCTTCTCATCTCCGGACAGAAGCTGCCCGTTTAGTCTCTTGTATCTACTTGAGTTGAGAGGCACACTCCTCACGGGTATCACTTTATATCCCACAGTCCAGTCCAATCCCTATCTGAAGAGTTCGCCTCGGAAACTGTTTTAGTTCTGGGCTGATAGAGAATTCGGGGGCCATGCTTTCCGGGGTTCCTCCAGTTTCAGTCAGACCATTAAGTCTGGTCTTCTTACTAGAATTTGAGTTCTGCACCCTACCTTTCTCCTGCTCCATCAGGGACTCTCTGTTGTGCTCCCTGTCAGGGCAGTCATTGGTGGTAGCCGGGCACAATCTAGTTCTTCTGGTCTCAGGCTAAAGAAGTCTCTGGTTTATGTGGCCCTTTCTGTTTCTTGGGCTACTACTTTCCTTGTGTCTTTAGTGTTCTTCATTCTCCTTTACTCCAGGTGGTTGGGACCAATTGATGCACCTTAGATGGCCGCTTGCAAGCTTTTAAGACTGCAGACGCCACTCACCAAAGAAGGATGCAGAACATTTCTTAATAAGCTTTGTTATGCCGGTTGACCTAGATGTCCCCTGAAAGCATGGTCCCCAGACCCCTACCCCTGCTACTCTGTTTCTCAAAGTGTGTGATTGTATTCAGGAAACTTCTTAGCTTTGGTTTAGTCCAGTTTTGCTGACTTCCCCTGTAGTGGGTGCTGTCCTTCCCTTC